ACTACAGAAGTAGATTGCCCAATCTTCCTTCCATAGAGTGGCTGGGGGTTTGAACTGCCAGCCTCCTGGTTAGCAGTCAAATGCCTTAGGCACTACACCACGAGACTCATGTGTTTAACAAGAGGCAAATGGCCACCAAACCCAAGATGTTTATTTATGGCCTGTCATTGTCTCAGATACTTGGAAAGAGATTTTTTTCCAATTAAGTTCAATTAACAAATCTATGTGCCTGCTCACCACTATGCTAAGAGGTATGGGGAAAACCAGCAAACAAATACAGTCACAGTTGTGAAGGAATTTGTCACCCATCTAGATTAAAATTTTATAAATAAAGGACTGATATTTAAATATACTACGGGACAGAGCCTCAGAAAACAGATCTAGATAAGCTGAAATAATTGAAAAGATGAGTTAAAATTAGATTTAGAGGGAAAAGGAGGGAGCTCTTTCTTGGGGAAGTGGTAAAATATGAGAAATAAATATAAAGGGGTATGAACAAGAGTCGAATGACTAGCATATGCAGTATACTCACACATCTGGAAAGGTTAGAAATTAAACTGAGAACTCAACATAGAAAAAAAAAATAAAGCATTTCAGAAAAAAAAGTAAAGGTCTATATTTTTCAATTAGGAAAAAAATGCCACAAGATGTTCTTAATTAAGCAACTATAACTTAATTCACTGTAGCATTAATTCAGAATGACTTAGTTATACATTAACCTGCCCTTATTTTAGCTGTTGACTAAATTACACTAAAATAAATGTGACACCATCTGGGTGTCTGCTGGGTGCACAAATAATGACACTGAACACACAGTAACCCTGCGTTGGTGTCTCCACTCCTAGAAATGATGACACTTGGAAGGATAAACGATTTGCTCATAGAAGTGGAACACAGATTAAATTCCTATATGTCTATCGGATTCCAAAACCCAGCCATATTATTTCCACCTCTCATACTGAACTGTATGAGTTAAGGAAGTTTAATGTGGAGTGAAAAGAGTTAGAAATGTATCCAAACCTGGAAGACAGCATTAGACGGGGATCCAGTTTCCTACAAAATCCTGGGTTTCTCAGATCTCACTCTCTGCCACATGACCCTTATAC